AAAGATTTTATTTATTTGAGAGAGAGAGACAGCGAGAGCAGGAACACAAGCAGGGGGAGTGGGAGAGGGAGAAGCAGGCTCCCTGCTGAGCCAGGAGCCTGATGTGGGGCTCGATCCCAGAACCCTGGGACCAAGACCTGAGCCGAAGGCAGGCGCTTAACGACTGAGCCACCCAGGAGCCCAGGTTAAATCTTTCATGTAAGCTACCTGTCGGAGTGGCTGAGGACAGAGGGATGAATGTTCCTGAGGAAACAAGAGCAGATTCTATGACTGTTTGTTCCAGTCCACTAATAAATGTACATTAGGCAGAAATGGGGGTTAGCTAAGACTTGCTTTCATCATAAAATATCACCTGGTAACATGAAGGCAGCCTCCTCCCATGTTTCTCTATTTATCTGATGTGACATTGTTGACCAGCCAGATTGGCTTAGATTAGTTCACAAAAGTGGTTACTCTTTTGTTTGAGACAGGTATCCCAGCTCCCTACTTTTCTTTGTTCCTTTTTTTTCCCCCCTCAAATACATTTTATGTGTAATGTTTTGTTGCAAATTATCTTCTCTTCCACCATCCTTCTTTGTACCTACTCCTTGCTACTTTTTATCCATAGCATTTAATGAGGCATTTTAGAAAAGTTTCAAATGGAATAACAAATTCTCCCACAAGTTTAAACTCACAGAACTTACAGTCATGAAACTCTGCATAAGTGTCTTGATATGCTAAAGGCATATCCCTCTTTTTTTGCAGGCTGACAAACCAGTCATCTTCTATTTGTCGGGTATCTAAGCCACTTAAGGAAGAACAAAACACAACACGAGTTCTAGAGCAAGGTTTTTCAAGACCAATTTTGAGCCACTGCCAACTCCAGAGCCCCGCTGGTCACACAAATGAAATGGCAGCCTCCCTTTAGTTTTGCTAGTAAGTCAGTAGCTTTTCTGGCCGCACAACAAAATTTCAACCATTTTACTTTATCAGTATGATGCAAGACACGAATGAATTCTGCTTTTAAATCTTCTACCTTTGCCTATGAAAGAAGACATTATTTGTTGTTGGGTAATTATCTGTGATGTTTTATTTGTGCTCAGCCTTCTCCTTGTATTTATCAAGAGTTTCTGGTCCAAGAGGTCCAGTTCAGGGAATGACAAAGGAGTTGATATCGGACTAACCCTCTTACATAAAACAATTAAAACTGTATAAATTATTTAACAACTTTTTGAAAGCAACGGAGGGGGACCAAAACCAAGCAGAAACTGAGAAAAGGAACTGCACTGAGGGTTATCGATATCTACATGGCTTTTCCTCTAAAGGAGATTCTCACCAGTACATGTCAGTCAGGTAGAACCCAAGCAGAAAGCTGCAGGCTTTTGAGAATGAGGGAACACAGGACAGCATTCAATCAAAGTTACACTATTTTGTGTAATTATTAAGAAAATTGAAGGTATTTATAAGCTTGTCATATTAATTGGAGATATTTACTATCCAGAAAGATCATTTGTTTTAATTTTGGACATGTCTTTCCTTTTGGACAATTGAAATATTTAGGAAGAATATTGAACATATAGTATTTAATCTATAAATTCAGCTAAGTATATTTGAAGGTATTAAGTTTGAAATGGTGCCAAATATTCTTCCCAAAATATTTTAAAATGATGGTTACAAGTTGCTAGACTTAAAAATTCTAATAGTGAGATTTGTAAGCCAAACATAAAAAGTCACTCTTCAAGAAGTACTAAGTCTTTGAACTTATAACTTTAATAAATGGCATTTTAATTATTGGAACCAAAAGTTAACTGCTACCTAGTGATTCCATGAAAAAAAGAAGAGGAATCCTCAAAAATACTGAAGATCTTACACAGTCAGAGATGGGAGCTTAACTACTGGGAGAAGGTGCCAAGGGAGGTTCAAAGTTCAAGCAAATGGGCATGACAGAGGATCTGAAGGAGCTGTGGAGCCAGAGGGAAGAATGCAGGAAGACACCAAATATAGCAAAAACAGGAAGGCTCTTGATGACCACCGAGTCACCCTTTGTTTTACTCAGGAAATGTGTGTGTGTATTAGATATAGATACTTAAAAAAAAAAAAAAAAAAAAAACTGGGCAGTAACCAGCTCTTTCTTCCTTTTTATGAAGCCAGAACATGTGGAATACTGCAATCACCCAGCTGTAGGGGAACATTTAAGGCCACAAGGAAAACCCACACCAGGGTAAATTAATGAATCCTACAGATCCATCATTATTTATTCTTAGAAATCAACTATTTCTGTTCTCCAGCAGAATGTTAACCAGAGTTTGGACAATAAAATGTACGGCAAAGTGATAATGCGAGTTATACCTTCAGGGAGATCTATGCAAGCTATTAGATTGTATTTTCCTTAAAATACCAAGACTCCCAGAGCCAATGCAACAGACACTTGTAACACCATCTTATCTCTGGTGAGCACAACAGCTACTTTTCTTTTACCATGTGATTTCTGACTTCACGTTTTATCGTTAATGCTCCCACACATAGGAATATACACAAGAACCCTATCACAATTACATACTTGTTTTAAAACCCACCTGGGGTTATTCTGGGAAGAGTAAGATTTCTTTGTAAAATCAAATACTGCAACAGAGTCCTGCCTTAAACTATTTCCATCTCAATTTTGAAATATATTTCTTCACATTAACATTTTTTTCCTCCAAGGTATATTAGACTTTTCTCACTAAGTATGCAGAAACTCAATGAAAACAGATTTTGATCCACTTTCTTGGATTTACTCACACCTGTATGCTGGACATCCAAAAACATTGTTGTTAAAGTAATTATGTTTGTGCATATTCTCCTGCATGTGTCATCAAGTAAGCAGAACTTATGGGCTAGAGAGTCATTCAGGCCCATCATTATTAGTAGTAATAAAAAACCTAATGATATTAACCAGTGGTTCTCAGACATTCTGCTTCCCGGCACTCCAGGGTTATGTGACACATCTCTATCGGTAGCAGGGGCTCACTACGGCTGCACTAAGTGTAGGGGTAAAGAGGGATGAAATCTTAAAAAAGCCTAGACGAATTTTTAATATTACCCTTCACCCCCATTCCTCCAGGAATAACTTGTACAAAGGGTAGCCTCATGGTTAAAAAAAAAAAAAAAAAAGCTTCATGCGTTTAGGAAGATAAAACTTTAAACAAGCACAAAATGACCCTATTTCACAAACAAATCGCTCTTCTAGCACAATGAGTAAGAGCTTGGACTCTTGAGTCAGAATGATGGGTTCAAAGATGCTACCACTTACTTGGTCTGTGGCATTGAACAAATTCCTAAAACCCTTGCGCCTCGTTTCCTCATTTTGTAACACAGGATAAACAATAATGTGAGTACCAGCTTAATAGCCCTGTGAGAATTAAATGGGTTGATACTAGCAGAGAAACTGAGACTGTGCCTGACCAAAAAAGATGAAGAAGCAACAAGAGCAGAATTCAGTAAGTGTAAACGGTTACTGTTTTGATAGTGATTAAAAAAATATTTGGCCTGTTTTAAATTATTTTATGTGCTTAAAAGTACTAAAATGCCTCATTTTATAAAATACATATATTAATCTGCTCAGGCTGTCCTAACAAAATGTTTCAAATTGAGTGGCTTAAACAACAGAAATTTATTTTCTCACAGTTCTGGCATCACGAAGATCAAAGCATCACAAGTTGGGTTCTGGTGAGGACCCTCTTCTTGGGTTTTCTGTGCACGCACATGGGGATGGTTTGGGGGGGGGAGCGGGAGGACAGCAAGTGGGATAGTGAAGCTATCCTTCTCTTATTAGGAGATCAGTCCTATCCAATTAGGGCCCCTCCTTATGACCTCATTTAACCTTAATTACCACCTTAAAGGCCCTATTCTCAAATACAGTCACACATAGTGTTAAGGCTTCAAATTGTGAAGGGGGGACCCCATTCAGGCCTTAACAACATATAATCCAGATATTTCACATTTTTAACCAGTCTCACCACAATATTCCTCCCTACTAATTAGCCCACATTACTTTAGCTGAATTACTCAGTAGAAGAAAAATTTAATGATGCTTTGTAAAATTCCTAGTTCCTAACTTCCTCTAAAAATAACAATTTTCAGTGGAACTGAATTAATCAGGACTCTAGTCCAGTATTTGCCTATGTCCTACCTACATACTTCATAAGGGAGAGTGGATTGGGCAGAGAAATGGGGAATAGCCCATAGATCGTATCATAATAAGTCAGAATTATCTTGAGGA